AGTATATTCTTCACTCATGCAATAGGCAAAGGTAGAACTAAGTAGGCAGCACACTTACTGTGTAAGAAGTGTGTGTGTATGGAACAGCCCACAAAAGTGGTAACTCTTTTAATGAAGCATGATTAACAAAAACTAGAAATTACTTTTGTCATGTGTTGCAGAACTTTTAATCTCGTGGTCTGTACCACATGATCCTGTAAATTAGGAATGGGCAAATATGTCACTCAAGATAGCCAGTGGTGAGTAATTATGGCAACTGCAGATCACTTGTTTGACCCCTGTTGCACTTCAGTGTATACCACAGGGAAACCCACTGTTGTCTGTAGCAATGCTGAGTAGTTTGCAAGAATTTGAGCATGATACAGGTTATTGCCCCTTTACTTGGTGAATGTCTTTTGCTACCAAAGGTTTTAATAGGCTTCTTTATTCAAACAAATAGCCTGTCTTCTGGCATAAATCCATTTTGTCCATGCTGGTTGTCTTCTTGCATTATCAGAACTAAAAGGCATAAATATAAACTCCCATCCAAACTCAATGCAAAGCAGAGCAGAATTTTCTCAAGTCCCTTACTGATGTTTGTCTAAATGGGTACCATATTACACTTGCCTGTGTATCCCACACATTAACCATGTGGCTAGTGTATTGTGCAAGAGAACAAACCAGAGTTACTACATCTTGGGCAAGTTATTTTATCCATGTGCATGCATCCTATCACAATGAAGAGAGTAGCACTAATGTAATTAAAATAATGGTTGCCAAAGTGATCTTCATAATGTTTAAATTATCCTCTTTTTCCCTCATTCCTTTCTCCATATTCATTCTGCTTTTGCTGAGAAGTATTTTTCTCCCTTTCCATGTGTTTTTCTTGGAATTGATGCTTATTTTTGCTGTTTTGTAGCAGTCCATGAAAGTTCAAAATACACATCATATTTGCTCCAAATTATATATATATATATATATATATATATATATATATATATATATATATATATATATATATATATATATATAAAATTTGGAGCAAATCTTGCTGCAGTGCAAGGTATGTTAGATTTTCCTAGTTCTTAAGAAAGTAGTTGCCAGATTGAATGTGTTTCATATTCCATATATTATTATTTAATTCTCTATTATTATTCTTTTTTAAAAAACCAATCAGAAGCCTGTATATAAAACACACATGCATCCCACTGGTTGTGATGAATTAGTTAATGTAGAATTTGATGTATCTTTAAAAAAAAAAGCTACAGAAGTGGAAAATTGGAAAAGATCATTGTTTTCTTTTTTTAAAAGTAATCGGTATAATGCAATGCATATCTATTCAGACATAAACCATGTTGAATTCAGAGTCTTACTCCCACATAAGTGTGCCATAGTTTTTTAGTATCATATCTCTCATTATAGCCAAAGCTAACATTTCACAGGGACCCATAAAAGTGTCCACAACAATAAAGTTATTCCCCATTTTCTTTCTCTCCCAAGCCCATTCCTCCTTAAATGCTCATTATGGATTCTAAAGTTGAGAGACTCCTCTACATCACTTGTGAGATCTTGTCCTTTTTAAATGAAATAATTATTGTAATTTTGAGAGAGGGTAGAGATGAAACTCTATTACTTCTCAGTCTAAAATGAAAAAACAGGGTTAGGTAACGCCTTAATGGGACTACCAAAATCTCTTAAAATGCTTAGTCCTTCAGAAATCTTCCAAAGTTTCTAGGATGAAGTTTAAAATATCAAAATAAAATCTGCTACAATAAAAAATGGGTTTGAAGGGGGATAGCCATAGGGTTGCCATAAACTGGAGATGATTTGAAGGCTCAAAGCAACAACAATAACAACAGATTTATATCAATTAAGGACCTAAATCAGATGGCGGCTTCATCCTGATACAATTCACTGTCTGTTCTGGCTAATTCACAGTACAAGTAACAGCAAACATGTGCTTACCAAAGAGCTGTGAAATCTAAACAACCTAGTATTCATGTTTTGCAACTGTAAAAGACTATCAGCTATATCAAAGGAAAATGTCAATCACTCACAAGTCCATGTGCAAAGTACAATAACATCCAAACTCCAAAAAACAGTGATACCATTATTGGGGCAAACAACATGTAAAAAAATACATGTTGCAATCTTTCAAAGCTCCACTGGCTTCTTTATCGGGCAAAGATGTTAAAAACCATACAGGAGAAAAAAAAATACTTATGACAATGTTAGTCACAAGCCTATGTGCAGTTCAAACTTCATAATAAACAAACCATAGACCATGTTGTACAGCTTGCAGCATGAATGACTAGGTCATTCACAATAAGCCAGAATTCTTTAGAATACCTTTGGACTTTAACTCCCAGAAACCCCAACCAGCATAGCCAATGGCAAGTGATTCTGGGAAATGGCATCCAAAATGTCTGAGGGCCAAAGTCTGAGAATGACTGCTTTAAAATGCTGAGACCTATCTATAAATGAAGACACCCTAACTTGTTTGCTAAAATGTAGAAGCAGAGTGATTCTGTGCACAATGCTGTTTCATATTTTTGCTTACTAAACTGAGACATGGTTGTCCCATTGCAGCCTTGTATCAGTGCTGCAGATCTGTAAATTAATGAAGTCACTGATAATGTTCAGCTACTTTTTACTAATTACAACTGGAATGCGGTTCTGCACAGGAAGGAATTACATTATTGGGGTAGTGCAGTTCTTCTGGCCTGGCCCAAGACATTTTGCTGCCTGATACAAGGCAACATATAAGATCACCTCATACCTGCCCAAGTCAATATATGGGGTGAATAATATCTGAAGTTAGTCAAATTATTTTAGTATCTCATGCAGGAAATCAGATAACCATCTTATTTCTAGTAGTAAAGGTAATTGCAAATTTACTGAGTTATTATGACACTAAGAATCTTCTACCTGCTGCAACAGTCTCACTCTGAAACAGGGGCAGTCAAACTGAAAGCTGAAGTTGTATTTGTACGAACCTAAGGTACGGGTACCAGCCAGAAGGTAGATCTTACTTCCAAGTCATTTAAGCAAAAGGGATTGCCTCCTTTAATTGTTTAGTTTTCTGATTGAGTATACAGCAGATTATCATTATCACTGCTTTATGTTGCCAGCCAGTACTGCTCGAGCAACATGGAAGAAAATATAAAATCCTAGACTAAATATTATTACATGTATTGAGCATGCAGATTCTTTGCATAAGCTTCTGCTGGATATTTATGGGCATATTAAATGGCACAAGCTGCATGCAGTCAATATGCATATTGCTACATATTTATTTATATATTGTATCCCTTGTGATGTATAGTCTCTTCCCCTCCTTTTGTTTATGACTGCCCTTTTCATTTCTGGAAATGGATGAATAGAAAAGCAGATGCCCTGTTTCTCAGGCTTGGGTTAGATAATAAAACATGGTTTGTAAGACAAACTGTCCTAGATGGAGAAAGATGCAGGCATAAGAATAGGAGCTGTGCCTTAGAAATCCTTGTCTTACCATGGAGTTCCAGAAGACCCAATGGGATAACATGAACATAAGATTTGTTATGAAGGACTGAAAGGGATACAAGAGCTCCCTCAGAAGCAGCCAAGATTGAGTTTAGTGTTCATTGACTGAACCCCAACCCCTGACTGCTTACATTGCAGTTTTTGAAAACATGTCCACACATATTCCTCCTACTGTACTGAGTCAACTTTTAACACAAATGGAGATGACTTCTAGCCACTGGAATCAACCAAATATCAGGATGTCACTATATGGCTTTGTGGGATTGAAGTGATCCTATATAGAGTAGTTTCACTAAAAATGGTGGTCCATCAACTGCTAGGCCATGGCATATTTTCAGGAAGGGAGGGGGGGAATTAGCCAATAAGTACAGATATGATATTCATTCCCTGGCATATTACTGGGGAGGAGGGGATATTGCCAGTCTCCCATATTAGATAGCCTGAGAATCAGAGTACACCATGGTATTCCTTTCAAGCATATGTCACATGTAGATAGTATACTCCACTTCTGTTCAGTTATATGTCATATGTAAATAAAACTGGTAGCACATTCTAGTTGATTGTAAGAACCCTCAAAAGATAATTCTGCATTCTTTTACTACAGTCCTATGAGTTCTTGTTTGACACTGTAGTATTCGTTTATGTAATATTTTAAGTTCTGTCATAGTATTTGATAATATTATTCCTTCTACAATCTTGTAAGGTATGTCATGCCTTTCCTTTTACAGTTCAGATAAACATCATCCAGATCTGCTAAGTCTCAAATAGCTCTTTGATGCCAATGAGATTTAATTCCAAGTAAATATTATGATTGTCACCCTGTGATTACGATTGAGATGGGATTGAACTGAGATCAAACTCTGAGACTACCAATTTCTAAAGATTACAACAGTATTTTTATAGGTATTCTTATCTTTTGAATATGTGGGAAAATACAGAAGTATATCAGTGAGAGCCAACATGATGTAGTGGTTTGAGTGCTAGACTACAACTCTAGAGACCTGGGTTCGATTCCCAGTTTGGCCCACTGTGTGACCTTAGGCAAGTCACTTGTTCCCAGACTCAGGGCAAGGCAATGCAAACCTCCTTGGAACAACTCTTGCCAAGAGAAACCCATGATAGGTTTGCCTCAGGGTTGCTGTAAGTCCGAAATGACTTGAAGGCACACAGCAACAAACATAAGTATATGTTCTTGCTATTAGTAGACTTATGAATTTTCAGATCTTATTCCCTTGGATTCATCCTATAACTAGTATTAAATGCAGAGCTTGGAAATAACTAGTTACAAACAATGTTATGTGTAATTAGTTTCTTTCCCATATATTGAAGGTATAGTATGGCTAAATTGCATTCTGTTTCTAACTTAATAGTAACTTAAAGGGCAACGTTATCCTTTTTTAGTGTAACAATAATTATAGCTACTTAGAAAGATAGGATTGTAGTCTCATTAAGGAATAGCATGGGTTTAAGCATTGGCTCATGCTGTGTTGCATGCTGCAGTTTGTACTGAAAGAAAACAGGATAGCAACTTGCAGAATGCAGCTATTGTTCTTGTTCTATTGTTTTTGTTGTACTTTTGAAAATTAAGCAAGAGTTAGATTTTTAAAAAATGCAGCTATGTTACTTACTAACTTAATTTTATTCCTTGACCTTTAAATGTAATCATTTTTTTAAAGAAAAAGCAGCTGATTCATACTTCATTAAAAACACATTTTTATTTATTTTTAAAAACATAAAATAGCAGCTGCAAGGAATGAAGCTTTGGATGGGTAGAGAGGGCTCTCAACCCTTTAACCCCATCTGATTATTCCCCCCCCCATGCTCTGTGCGTGCGTGTGTGTGTGTGTGTGTATGTGTGTGTGTTTGGAGGAAACCTCCTGCCTAGTTGGCAACATCAAAATGCTGATACTCCATTCAACTTGCCTTTTTCAACTCTAAATAATAGCCTCCTTGGTTAAAGCCTGTTTTTAACTGTAACATCTCTCACAAATGGGTACCTGACCCCATTTAAGGCCTCCAGATAGTGGCATTCTATAAATAAATAATATCACATGCAAAGTGTTCACAATAATAAATGAATTAGGCTGTTTCATATGAAAAGCAGGCCTTAAGTTAGGCTTACTTAGCATTCAGTTGATAATCCTTGTAAGACATGTGAGTGAGCGAAGTGTGATTGAAGCCAACTAGTTTCACTAGATAAGCATAGTCAATTTAAAGAGGGTGGGGAAAACAATCTGAATGAATAATTTGGCCAAATAAGGATTTAAGATTCTTCCTACATGCAAGTCAGCAAACAGCAAAACACTAAGAAATAGCAGCTCAAAATAGCAGCAGGACATCAAGTTCAGAATAATTAGTGTATGAGCTGACTGTGCCCCATGCTATCATCACTATGCCTTTTTCTTTATCTTTTCTTTTTTTTGTTCTAGTTCTTCTATTGGTTCATTTACATGCTTTTGCCTCAAAAAGGCATGTGGATGAAAGTGGTGAGCATTCAAAATATATGTAGACGCTGTGCTATTAGAAAGGAGAGACTGAATTATTTATTGTAAATTAGATTACAATCTTATAAACCTGCTGCCTGTGTGCCTTCTACATGCCAGTCTGAGCATTCACTAAGGCATCTGATCCCAACCCTCAGCCCTCTGCAGATATGTTGTACTACATCCTCATTATCCTCAGAGTATTCTGCTATTCTGCTTTGGCAGGCACAGTTCCAATTAATCAACTTTTTCTGGCATTTTTTTAAAAATCCAAGTTTTTCTTTCATCCTCCCACTTTCCTCTTCTATCCTCAGGTTGTTCCAACTGCAGCACAATTAACTCAGAAAGGGGGAGCAGAGAAGAGGGGACAGAACATTGCCCTTCCCAGTTGGCTCAGGCAAAAGCAAACCACTGCAGTCTCTCCTAGTTTGTGTGTTCTTCTTCATTAATGCCAATAGTAGAATGCTTCATTAATGCTAGTGCGATGTACTGCAAATATCAGGCTACAGTTGTGTGTCCTTGCATCATGTTCAAGCCAGCTTCAGCAGTATAGCTGGATGTTCACATTTGCTCTCTGTTTTGCAGCCAGTTACTTTTATTTACAAAGTGTGCTGAACTACCTGCTTTCTTTTCAAAAGATCTAGCTTATTTGCATGGTTTGGATGCAAAGCAATAGCTTCTTGATCTGGGTTTCCACAAGGAGGATAAAGGGGGCAGTTGCTATCTCCTGAACTGAACCATTATTGGGTCTACCCATCACTGTTTCTTACCTGCTCTTGCCCAAGAAAACTAGATACCTGCCAGCCAGCCATGTCACTATAATGCCTTGTGGGAAGAAGCAGTGAAAGTTGTGACAACGATGAAAAGCTATCTGGTGGCAAAGTAGGAAAGACAAGGGAGATACTAACTGGGCAGCTGCTGCCATGTGGACAAAGGAGGAAAAGGAAACAGGAGAGATAGTACACAGAGGAAATAGGAACAACTCTAGTTGTGGACTAGCCACTGAGGCCTGATTGGAGCCAACACTCATGTTATGCTAGTGCCAAGTCAAAAGATGCTTTTTTATTAAAGCCTTTAGGGCCTAACTGATTTTATCCAATTTGCATGTGTGCTATGGTCCATACTATTTAAAATTGTTTTAAATTTTCTTAAATTGTCTCGCTTTTAAATGATAAATGGTTTAATGTATATTTTAGTTTGTTAAATTACAGTTGTTGTTATTTATTGATTTAAATTGATTTTATTGTATACCATCCTGATATCTTTAGTTATAGTATAAGTTATAAGTATTTTAATAAAATAATAATAAATATGAGGAGGAGCACAGCAAGTTGAAATTACATGAGGAGGAAAAGGTGAGGTGCAAGGCAAATGCTACCCCTTCATTCCTTCCTCCTCTACTTCCAAAGTCCAGAAATCATACCCCATTTCTAGAACTAAGTGGGAACTGAATCTTGGAGTCAGTTGATTTGGGTTGAGCTTTGGGTAGGGCATTTGTTAATGAGAATGCATTAATTGAAAATGATTTTATTTATTGAAGATCAATTTATCATTTCAGGGGAATGATAAATGGGGTAATTAATTGAAAGAAAATTGATTTGAACTTGGAGCAAGATCAGTGCATGGAAAATTAATAGAGGAAAAATTAAATGAAGGAATGAAGAACTAAAGAGGTAAAGGGAACCAAGAAGTGAATTAAGGGTTCAGTTATGGGTGGAAAGATGTCATAAGGACACCAGCTCTGCATGTTGATATACAACCAATCTACCTGTTGAGAAACTATTCAGGGATCAGCTAGGCTTACTTATCTTGATAGACATGGTCCCCATGTGTCACCACTGCTCAGCGAACAGATCTACCAGAAATTATAGATAGATAATTTGCCAATTTAGCAACACTAAATTCACTGATACCTTATTTGATCTGAATAACAGGATAAGCAAGTGTTAGTAAAACATTTAAAAACAAATGGAGTGTGTCCAGAGGAGGGCAAACAAAATGGTGAAGGTTCTGGAAACCATGCCCTATGAGGAGCAACTTAGGGAGGTGACTATGTTTAGCCTGGAGAAGAGATGGTTAAGGGGTGATATGACAGAGATGCTCCTGATTAGTCATAAGGCAGATCAGGGAATTGGAACTTTGTCTGTGCTGGATGGAGTTACAGTCCCCCTGAAATCTCAGGCTTGCATCTTGAGTGTCCTCCTGGACTCCACTCTGAGCCTGGATGCCCAGGTCTGAGCAGTGGCCAGGAGTTCATTTCCACAGTTAAAACTAATGTGCCAGCTGTGCCCATTCCTTGAGACATCAGATCTGGCTATGGTGACACATGTCTTGATTACATCCCATTTGGACTGCTGTAATACACTCTACATGGGGTTGCATTTGGAAACTGTTTGGAAACTTCAGAAGGTTCAAAATGTCACAGCCAAAATGCTGACCTTTGCCAGTTATAGAGAGCATATAAATCCCTTATTGAAATAGCTTCACTGGCTACCGGTCCATTTCCAGGCACAATTCAAAGTGCTAGTCATGACCTATAAAGCTCTACATGGCTTAAATCCAGACTGTTTGAGAGACTGTATCTCCCCATACAAACCAATTAGAGCCTTTAGAAGTTTAGATCCTCACAAGGCTTTCTCAATCCCACTACCATCCTAGGCTTGCTTGATGAGGACAAAAGAGGAAGCTTTCTCAATATCTGCTCCCATGCTCTGAACTCCGTTCCTTGGGGGGCTAGGCTGGCCCCCTCCCTGCTGGCCTTTTGCCAGCAGGTACAAATGTTTTTATGCTGGAAACCATTTTAAAATCATGCAAGATTGGCTTTATTGGGAGGAGAGTTTTTTAGACTATTTTTAAAACTTTTGTATGTTTTAAATTTTAATTTTGTTGTGTTTAAATTGGGCTATCTTAATTGTCTTTTAAAATTTTGTTTTAATGTGTTTTTACATTGGGAGACACCTTGGGTCCCTTTTTAGGAGAAAGGCAACATAGAAATAAAATACATAAATAAATAAAAATAATGGCCTTGTTTAAATATTTGAAGGGATATTGTATTGCGAATGGAGCAAGTTTGTTTTCTGCTGCTCCAAAGACTAAGATATGGAGCAATGGATACAAACTACAGGAAAAGTTATGCCACCTCAACATTAGAGAGAATTTCCCGACAGTAAGAGCTGTTGGACAGTGGAACCCACTCACTTGGAGAATGGTGGAGTCTCCTTCTTTGGAGGTCTTCAAACAGAGGCCAAATGGCCATCTGTCAGGGATGCTTTGATTGAGAATTCCTGCATGGCAGG